CGGTGAACGATGGCGGTGGCGCCACTAGTTGCCGACGAGGATGCACTCCCGGCATCCTCTGGGCGAAACGGAGATGAAGCCGGGGAAGATGACGTTACTGCGGATCGGATGGTGGCGACACCGGGCTCCGAGGAGGTCCTGACCGCCGGCGAGGGGTGGCTGGAGTTGCGCGATGGCGGCGACACGAGAAGAAGGCGGCGTGGCAGCCAGGTAGAGAAGAGGGGGAGGGCAGCGGTATGTCGGGAGAGAGGAGGGGGTCAGGAATCCTTTTTATAGGCCTGGGGGGAGGAGGGGATCGGCCGGGGAGAGGAGAGAAACGGCCGGAGAGCTCGCCAGGCTGCCATCAATGGCGGCAGTTGATCGGAGATTAAATTCAATGATTAAAGGCTGAATTAAGAGGAGAAAACGTGGGGGAATTGATGATGAGGAGGAGAGGAACCAATTTTTGCAATCGATTTGGTGGAGAGCGAGTGGGGAGGGGCGGCGCTGGAGTTCTTCTGCCGGGAAGAGGAGCGGTCGGCTGGAGGTGGAAGACGACAACGTGTCCCTTTCCTGGGCCGACTGGGCCACGGCCGAGCGAGCAGGGGAGGAACTGGGCCGAAGCGGCCCAAGGGAGAGAGGGAAGGAGGGTGGGCCGGCTTGAGGAAAAGGATGGGCCGGAGGAGAGGAGGTCGGCCCGAGAGGGAGGAGGGACCCGAGAGAGAGAGGGAGCGAAGGGAAGAGAAGTGGACTTTGGGCTGAAAATGGCCCAAAGAGAAGAGAGAATTATTTTTAGTTTTCTCATTTTTAATTAACGCTGAAATTGGTTGTTGTTGCTTTAAAATTGTTTCCTGTGCTCTGAAAATTCGAGTAAAAATTGAGGCACCAATTTAGAGCATGGAGGATTTAAGAAAAATACTCCAAGCCACATTCGATTTTTTTTCTTGTACGCATTTTAATGTTTGCCAATTTAACTTTGAATTTTAATTAATTATATTATTTCTTTTAGAGAATGATTTTTAATTTGGGATGGATTTATCAGGGCGTGACACGGGACTTAGGGAAAGGTCCCATGAAGTCAATACCCCAAACATCGAATATCTCAACTTGCAGGTTGTATGTGAGGGGCATTGCATCGCAAGCAGTGATTCCTCCTTGCCTCTAGCAGTTTGGGCATCTTCTGACAAATTCTTTTGAATCTTCGTACATTGTTGGCTAGAAGAAACCACATTGTCAAATCTTGGCATGGGTGCGGAATGCACCATAATGGCCACCATAAGGTGAGGCATGGCATCGTTCTATAATCTTAAGTCCCTCTTCAGTCGGCACGCATCTTCTTAGTAAGCCACCAGAGCAGACCCTATATAGGTATGGCTCATCCCATATATGACAGCGGCTCTCATATTTCAGCTTCCATTAATTTTCTCCCGGTGGTATGTATTTGGATACCATGTAGTTCACTAAGTTGGCATACCACGGGTTAGAGTCGCAAATCGTCATCAACATATCATTTCTCAAGAAATCATTTATCAGTTGTTCCTGCGTGTCAGTGATTTGCAGCCTAGACAAATGATCCGCTACGGAATTTTCTACTCCCTTTTTATCCTTAATTTCTAAATCAAATTCTTGGAGCAGCAAAATCCATCTTAAGAGACGTGGTTTAGCATCTTTCTTAGTGAGCAGGTACTTTAGAACAACATGATCAGTATAAACTATCACCTTAGCTCCCACCAAGTAAGATCTAAACTTATCGATAGCAAAAACAACCGCGAGCATTTTTTTTAGTAGTTGCATAATTCAACTGAGCTCCGGTTAGAGTTTTGCTAGTGTAGCAGATTGCATGATACTTTTTGTCCTTGATTTGGCCCAGGACCACACCAACATCGAAATCGCTTGCATCACACATAATCTCGAAGGGCAGAGTCCAATCGGGAGGTTGAATGATTGGAGCAGAGACGAGTGCCTTTTTGAGAATTTCAAAGGATTTTAGGCACGCGTCATCAAACTCAAAGGGAGCATCCTTAGCTAAGAGGTTGGTCAGAGGTCGGGTGATTGTAGAGAAGTCCTTGATGAACCTTCTATAAAAGCCGGCATGTCCCAAGAAACTGCGGATCCCCTTAATGTTCATAGGAGGAGGAAGCTAATCTATTACATCGATTTTGGCACGATCAACTTTGATTCATCGTTCGGACACTCGATGACCAAGAACTATCCCTTCATAGACCATGAAATGGCACTTTTCCCAATTAAGTACAAGATCCTTCTCTTGGTATCGTTGTAAGACTTTGTTTAAATTCTGCAGACAATGACCGAAGGTATTTCCGTAGACAGAGAAATCATCCATGAAGACTTCCATAATGTCCTCGATCATGTCCAAGAAAATAGACATCATACACCTTTGAAGGGATGCAGGAGCGTTGCACAGTGCGAAGGACATCCTACGATACGCATAGGTACTGTACGGACATGTGAATGTAGCCTTACTTTGGTCCTCCGGATGGATAGAAATTTGATGATACCAGGAATACCCATCAAGGAAACAGAAAAAGGAATGATTTGCCAGTCGTTCCAACATTTCATCAATGAAGGGTGTAACAGCCCTAAAATTTGACAACTTTTTAAAACCGAATTAGTTTGCTTTGGTTCTCTAAAAATATAACCGTCGAGTTAGACATTTATTTAAAATATTATTTTCCAAGTTTGTTTCCGGTGTTTCTTTTCTCGTTTAATTTTTGTCGCAAAGTGCATATCATCCCTCAAATAATTCCTTTGAATCCGATTTAAATCTATCCCAAATATCGCACCATCTAAATATGACATCAATTCAAATTCTATCTATTTTAAGTTTCCCCAAATTTTCCTTTTCTCTATTATTTTTCTTTTCTTTTTCCCTTTTTCTCTGTTTTTCTCTTTCTTCTTCCTTTCTCTGTTTTTCCTTTTCTTTCTTCCTCTATTCGGCTAGGCCGAGCCAGCTCGTGCTGCCTCGCGCCAATCCCGTGCCACATTGCGCCGCGCTTGCGCGCGCTCGCGCCCAGCTCGTGCCAGCCCGCGCATCCCACACGCTCGCACGCACACACACGAGGCCGATCGACGGACGAATCCCCGGATAACACCTCCAGCTTCCCGCCTTCGTATTTCCTTCGTCTCTCAACTAGAAGGCTCAAGACCAGAGGCAAAAGAAGTGCAATTTCAACCTCTTTCACCTCCTCAAATCCGCCCCTACTCCCGTTAACTCAATCGTCATCACCGAAGGAAAAATCTTCTGAAATTGATTGAGCTCCAAAATTCGTCGCATACAACGCAAATCTTCTGAAATTGAAGGTAAAATTGGATTCGCCATGCTGAATACTCCCTTTCCCCTCTCTATCATCATCCAATCCGTTGTCGGAACATCGCCGGCGCCGCCTCCCGTCGCCACTGCTCTGTTCGGCCGCCGCCGGCCACATGGTGCGCCGCAGCTCCAAGACGCCTCAGCCTAAGTTGCCGCCACCCCTAGACTCCCCTCGCCTTACTGATGCTCACCAGGCCACCGCCCTCCCCGGAGTTCGCCGGAGTCGCTGCCGCCATGGCCGCCTCCGCCTCCCGTTTCTGCTCGCCGCCGCCAGCCTCGCCACCGGCACTTCTCTCACCGCCGACCACAAAAACGGAATCGCCTTGGCTTCTAGATCACAAAACCGGCGCCCCCTTGCCCAAAACCGGCCATCTCCACTGCCGGCGTCAGGGAGTTGCCGACCGGCTCCTGTGCAGAGAACGAGAAGGACAGGAAATCCTATTTTCCTGTTGAAAAATAAATCAGAAAAATCCTTTTTCTTATTCTATCAGGTTGATCATCTGTTTGACCTCAAAATCGAAATCTGATACCTATTCCAAACTCCTAGAATTATTCCGAATCCATCCGTGTTAGTTTCGTTGCAATCCGAGTATCCGTTGTTGTGACCCTAATTTTAGCCATAGGGTTCACCGTTCACCGAAATTCCAAAAATCCCTAAAATTATTTCTTTAAATCCTTTTCACCCATTGTTGCACTTTAGGATACTATTTGTTTTTGGTTATCTTTGTTTTTTTGTTATTTATTGTGGTGATGATTGTTGCGTAAATAGAAAACGCCAATGTTGGTCCGATAGTCGAAGCGAGTGAAATCTCCGTGCCAGGAGGAGACGGTTTGTACGACTACATCGAGTCCGAAGGTTGCAAGACATGCACCCTCCCTTGAACAATTTAATCCCAGTAGATAGAGAGAGTTATTTTGGTAGCGTACTCGTCCTTTGGAGTACGATAGACTGCACGAATTCTTTTAAATTAATTATATTACTATTATTGCACTATATTTTCTGTTGTTGTTATAAACACCTTAATGAGCCTTGGAGTCTAACCAACTTAGGATAAAATTTGAGGAACACTTAAACAAATTGGTAATTATTTAGCATGCTATCGATTTAATATGGATATTATTACTGCATATGAAACATGCTTATGGAACTATTTATGGCTATATGCTAAGAATTGTTGACACCGCATGTGAGCGGGTGGTACACACGATAGAGTTCATGTGTTTGGTTTTATGGACCTGTTTATGGTCGTGATGGATATATGGATATATTTATGGTTATTTCTTATTTAAAATTGATATAATAATCAACCCCTTGTGTCAATAAGAATGATATAGTTTCGCCCATCCACACGATCGAGTTATCGAACCTAGTCGTATATTGCTCCAATTGATTAAACTTCTGCAGGCCTTTCAGTGTCCTGGCCATTAGCTTTCAAGTGTGTGAAGCAAAGTGACATGGTTCATGTTTATATGATTTATATATGTGGGCTCGATGGGCCCCGAGAGTTCAGAATTGCCCTATGGGCCCATGAAGTTCTGGGCTGCTCATCGAGTAACGAACAATGGTAAGTGGATGCGGAGGTAGGTTGGCACACACCTCGGACCGGATCACTCTGAGCAACATCCCGAGCATCCTTTTAACTTACTAGGCAGAAGGGAGAGAGATATATGGAGCAATATTACACCTTGTTACTTTTCAGCCTGGCCAGCTGTGGGTATCGTGTGGGTAAAGCTGGGTAGACGCTGCAGAGTCGTTGAGTATTCGAATACACCGTGCTCCCGGTTAATGGAGATGTGTCTATGGGTGATTCCAGATTATGGGCACAAGTTAAACAAAATGGCTATTAATTAATATGGTTAACTTATTTATTACTTGATGTTCTATTCAAGTTATTTATAAGTAACATATATATTTTTATGCTCATTATTATTGTTTAAATTAAATGTTCAATAGTGTTGTTTATATCAAATGTTTATTAAGTTAGGCTCTATGAAATAATTGTTAAGGTTAGGGTTTAAACCTTCCAGCTCTCGATACTACATGTTTTATATTGCAATTATTGTATTTATTATCATAAGAATGTCTTGTTGAGTACCTTTTGTACTCATAAATGGGTTCAGATCATGAGGAGGAAGATGCTTGTGAAGATCCTGTTGACCCGTTAGAGTGGGACAGCTATGGTTTCTACTAGGTCATCCTACGCTCAGGCAGTTCCTGTGGTGAAGTCTAGCAGTTTATCTGTTTGTAGAAATAAGGCTTTATAGGCCATATATGTAATGGTTTGTATTTATGTTGTGTTGTGAACTAAGTGACTTAAGTATTGTATAATCGAAGTTTATGCTTTTATATCATTTCATGCGTAACTGAATATCCTGGGCAGTTACGTATTCGTGGGTGCACCATGACTTTATTGGGTGTCCCCACAAAGGGTAGCGGAAAATGATCCTTTTTGTAGCCTTGTTAAGTTTCCTGTAATCTATGCACATTCTCCATCCAGTTACGGTTCGTTGCGGAATAAGTTCATTTTGAGCATTTGCAACGACCGTCATTCCTCCCTTCTTTGGCACAACCTGGACCGGACTAACCCACTCACTGTATGGTATGGAATAAATAATCCTGGCATGCAGGAGTTTCAGGACCTCTTTCTTTACAACTTCTCGCATCGCATTATTGAGCCGTCGTTGAGGTTCCCTGGAGGGGGTACTCTCGGGGTCAATAGTGATACGATGGGTGCAAAGCGCGGGATTAATCCCTCTAAGATCTTGAAGGGAATAGCCAAGAACAGCGCGATGCTTTTCTAACATAGTCAGAAGACGTCGAGTCTCGTCTTCGGAGAGCTTGTCACTGATTATGACAAGGGCTTCTCTGTCATTGTGTAAGAAAGCATAGCGTATGCCTTGAGGTAGAGGTTTAAGCTCATGCGGAGGTCGAGGTAGTGGTTCCAAGATTGGAAGATCGAGAGTCTCTCGGGGTTCCGCTTCTTCCTTGATGAAGTCAGGGACTTCATCTTCCAAAAGGGACTTGGGAGACTCGTGAGGGGGAACTGCTGTAACCTCCTCCGCTGACTCAATCTCTGGGAGAGAGTCGTTCAAGGCGAACCTTGCCCGCGAGAATGAGACTGAGAATTCATTCCCTCCCAAAGTTATCTTGAGGCTATCTAACCGGGGCGTGTTTATTAGGAGTTGCTCAATGAGAAGCCCGATTAGAATGTCAAAATCTTGAATTTCAAAGACGTGGAAATCCAAGACTGCCTCCCTATCTTCAAAGCAGATAGGCACATCTTGTATAATCCTAAATCCTTCAATAATATTTCCGTTCGGGTGCTTGAAGAATTTGTTTATCGGGGTTACTGCCTTATCGCTCAAATAAGCGAATGCAAATGACTCAGAGATGAGATTAACCCCGACAGTTGGACTGTAAAGAATACCAACATCGTTCCCTTCCAGATGGCAAGGAATGATTCGGGAGGGGTATTTATCCAAATTACTTCGGATGAAAGCTCTGCCTCTCTTAGCCATTCGTTGCTCATTATGGATGTTAGCTCCCAAACAGTTTCCCTGAGGAACCCAAGTTCCATAGGATCAGTAGGCGTTAAGGGGACGAGTGGTTTCTTTTTACTGAAATAGTTCAGGGAGTTGCCATAATCTTCGTCAAAACCGTCCCTGAACAGAGTTGTGGCACGAGCCGGAGTCTGAATTTCTTCATTCTCAACGGATGGCTGCTCAGGAACTTTCTCATCAATCAAGTCAGTGGAAGTGGAAGGCTCAGATTGTGACTCAATTGCTGAAGGTTCCTCTATCTTGGACACGGATGCCTCTAGCTGGGGTTCATCAGATTGTGCCATGAAGGGAGTATTTTCTAGAATGCGATCTAAAATTACTTTTCCTTCCGATGGTGTTTTGTGCATGAATGATCCTCCGATGGTTATGTCCAGATAGAATGCAGATTCCTTATCCAAACCCGTATGGAAATGTTGCAAGAGTACATATTCGGGTATGGACAAGGTTGGTCCGGACTGCACTAAATTAGTGAATCTCGACGAGGTTGCACTGATTGATTCATTTTTGATTTGCTGGAAACTAAGGATCTCTACTCGAAGGGCAGCTATACGAGTAACTGGGAAGAAGGCAAGGCAGAATCTGACTCGTAACTTTTCCCAACTACCATTTACACATCCAATGGTAGAGGTGTACCATTGCTTCGCTCTCTCTTGAAGGGAGAACAGAAACAATTTCCACCATATAGTTTCTTGTCTCATACCACAAATCTTAAGGCATGAACAGACTTGCTCAAAGTCTCACAGATGATGGTAGGGATTTTCTAGATCAAAGCTAGAAAAAAGATTTTCTCTAATCATACTGATGAGTTCGGGGCGAATTTCATAGCCAGTTGTATAAATTGGCTCCGATGAAGGAGATGGCTCATAAAATTCGCCCCTAGAGCGGATAGCTCCAAGAGAGGTTGCTCCATAGTCGAGAAGAGTTTGACAGGAATACTTCTCTGGGTAGCAGGGGTAAAGGTAGAATAAAAAGTGAAAAAGAGATACGAGGATGAACTGGGTTCGGAAATGATCAATTACCGTTCCCCGGCAACATACATCATGACCATGTTGAGACCAAAAGATCTAGTAATATGCATGGCTTTCTCTGGTTTGATCAATACAACTCTATATTGAGGTTTGTGGACAACAGTTGTGTAGGGAGTTAGTACTGCCGATTTATTATCTTCAACACGGTGCGAATTTTCTAGGCCATAGAAGTTCCTTCTTTAGTTAAAGAACCAAAGTATTTGCTTTTATACTGTAAAAAAAGTGTCAAAGTTTAAAGATATCAATGTAAAAAAAGTTCTGCACAAGTAGAAACAATGTACACAAGGTAATTCCAATAATAATCATATTGATCATCACCTCCAAGACCAAGGGGAAGAATAATGCGTTTTACCTGGAAGAGATGTGGACAAGAGTTATACGCCATCAACTGAGGAAAGTAGTTAACAATTTCACATTAGTTAAACAGAATGTTGCAAAGATCAACAATATATCACATGATAGACATATTGTTCAGTTCTATTGGAGTTTGGAGATAATTAAGTCTGATTTGATCTAGTTGCACTCTGTAGAATATGTGTAGACAAAAAAGGATGGAGGCAAAAAAAAAACATAGCATTTCAAGTCTTAAAGCTTGTGACCCTAGTACAAACCACCTTGATAAAGCACATTAATATGATAATACTTATTCCTCATGGATAAAAGAATTGAACTCTTGGAAAAGGACTTTACATAACCAGAAAGTACTAACTATTTTTAGCCTCATGTTTGTCAAATGCAAGCCATGATTAATTAATACCATCATCAATATTTGCATGTATAACACCGTTTTCTTTGAGGATATAATGCAACATTTGGGGGAAAAATAAAGATAAACCTTATGATGCTCAAGCATGTCTTCTCAATCAAATATTTCAAAATACCTTCTGACTCCATTGATTTCACTCATGTCTCTGGTATGCTGATGCAGAGGTGCACATCTCAGTATTAGTGCTTATACACAACTTCAAAAAGAAAATCTAGGACAAAGATAAGTGATGTGACCATGACTACTACAGATACAACCATTGCTCACATAATGGATGAACAAGATGATATAAAGATCAAGTCCTCCAAGTGCTAGAATCCGATTTGGCCACCTGCTACACTGCTGACTTCAAACGGCCGCCAAATCTGCATACGAGCTCTGTTTTCGACCCGTGAGTACTTCATGGAAAGCTCTCGGAGTCATTTTTCCAACGGATCCAGCCTCATTGCGAAACTCCATCTCAGTGAGCCGCAATTGATAGAACAAGGTGTTGCGTCACCTATAATGGGCCTATGGGCTTGTAACTTCGTTTGGGACCCCGGCCCAAGTGGAGCCCATGTGGGGTGCACCCCAACTAGGTGGAGGACGACCTCGGGTCCACCCATCTCCATAAATAGTTAGATTCCCCTTCAGGGTTTCTTGGGTTTTGTTTAGATTAAAGTTTAGCTTTGCTACTTTGCCGGGTAATCCCGTGATCGGTTAGATCGCCGGTTTGCTCGTTATAGAACCCCAAACTTATCATTTGTACTCAATTCCTATTTGCAATTTAGATTGCTTTTATCTTGTTCTTGCATGTTTCTTCGATTTGCTTGCAGGAATAAGGTTGATCTGCACTGGCAAGATCAACAACCCACGGAGAGGTGTACCGATCGCTAAGGCGCAACACAACAACGTCTCGTACGGTTGTAGTCAGGTCGTCAACGTTTCTCCCAAATCGTAGTTAACTTCAACTCACCGAAAGATCGGGCCAACAACAGCCTTGAGTGTCCCGAGTGGAACTCAGGGTTCATCAGGTGGTATCAAAGCTTTCGTTGCTCGGTGAGTTTTTTTTTATTTACCTATATCGAGAAAAATTGCCCTACAAAAAAAATTGCATCCTGTACCTAGCCATATTTGTGCCATTGCATTGTTCTTTTCTATTTTTGCGTTGTTGAGTTTTGTGTTGCATCGTCATGTCGTGTTGCTGGTCATAGCGTCTAGTGCGTTTAGAGTTTCGAGTTCTGGTCACATTTTATACCACAGTCGTCGCGTGCTTGTTGTTGTCGGGACCTACGAAAACGGAATCGTCTTTCCGTCACGGTTCTATTTTTGTAGTTTTCACAAGTTTTTGTTGGTCGGTTTTGGAGTTGCGTGTAGGTTTTATGTTGTATGGCGTGTTGTTCTGCCAGGTCCCGTGGCCGTGCTGTTGCGCGTGAAAAAAAAAGGGAAGGGGGCGTCTGTTTGGTAGATTAGATTAGATCGGTTTCTGTTGAGATTGATTTTTGTTTCCTTTCATGCGAGATATCCAAACTTTCAGCCGAGACAGTCGGTTTCCCATCTATCCGACTCCCTCCCTGTCGGTTTCAATGCATACTGTGAGATGCTAGACAGCTTGGTAAAAATTTTTAGAGTGTCGGATTGGAGATCTGTTTGCAAAACGGAACCTATGGGACGAGAGCATTTCATTTTTGTATAGTTCTAATTTTGGGTTTGGACTTTTACAGTTGAGTCCCTATAAATTTTCATATTTATATTTGAGTCCCTATAATCTTGCATTGAGGTCCTTTTGTCGGTTTTGATAAAAAAAATCAAAAAAACGGAAGGAAGAGAAAAAAAGGCAGAAAGGTGCATAAAAAAAGAAAAGAAAAGCCGCACCAAAAAAATAAAAGAAAAAGAAAAGAAAGGAAAAAAAAGAAGGAAAAGAGAAGAATCAGTTGTATCTTTGAGATTACTTTCATATATCAGAGTGTGCTTGAGTTAGTTCTAGTGCTATCTTGTGGTATCGTTCGTGTCTAGGCTCGCATCTTTAGTACGTTCTAGCCTAGGACCAGCACAGTACTTGACTTTGAACAATTATTCAACTTTGCATTATCTGATTTGAACCATTGCTTTTCTTTGCTACATATTTAAACCTACCTAGAGCTCCACAGATCTGATTGCAACCAAACAGCAAGTGTTTGCCAAGGCATCGATACATCCAAACTCCATTGGGGTGCTTGGTTGAGTCGGTGTATGTCACTATTCCGCTTGCTTTGGTAAGAACTTGTAAGAGCTTGGTGAAAAGATTGAGTGTGTGTGATATTTCAGCTGCCACTACCTAGTAGTTGATAGGAGCATGCATATTCTTGTGTATGTTTCTTGTTTGCTACTAACCATGGCAGGATTGTGCAAGGGGAAACGAGATGGTCATGCTCAACATCTACTTCTTCACCATCAATGAGATATATCGTCTTCTTCTCTCTTTGCATATAAGGTACATGATAATGATCTTGCAAGGGTAGAATCTAATTTGCCTGTTTTTGATGGTAATTATGATTCCGCCGCTTATGGTAATTGGGAGCTAGCAGTAGACAAACAATTTGATGAGTATGATTTCTCTAATGCTCAAATGATTAAGGCTGCTAGTAATAAGTGTACCGGTTCTGCATCTTTTTGGTGGTATACTTTTGGCAATAAGCTTGAAACTTGGGATGAATGCAAAACAATGATGAGGAAAAATTTTGTGTTTTCATATTATAAACGTACTCTCCTTGAGAAATTAGAACATCTAAAACAAGGTGATAAAGCCGTGTGGGAGTACTTTCATGACTTTAAAATTTGTACCACTTATAGTGGTTTAAAAGAAAGCAATGAGAGCACAATGACTAGATTTTTTAGAGGGCTTAATTCTGATATTCAGACTGGGCTTATTAACGTGACATATAATCATATAGGCCACTTGTTCATGCTTGCTTGTAGTGTTGAGAGCAATATTTTAAAGAACCCAAGGGAGAAACAATCTATGCTTGTGCCTCCTATTACTGACATTTTGCAGGGAGCTCAGAACATTCACCATGAGGAGAAGAGCAATATGATCGAGATGCCATCTCCATCGCTCACGAAGGAAGAAGAGAAGACTGATGCACCTACATTATCTGAAGAGGGCATAGAAGGTAAATTAAATGGTGCTGTTATTACTCAAGGTGGTGTGCTTTTGATGAGTCACATTTGACCACTATCCATACTAATCTAGAGCAAATTTTGGTGGAAACTACTTCTGATTTGCCTTTGTCACAAGTTGATTTACTTGTTGTTCCCTGTGATAAAGAAGAGTTGTGTGATAATGCTTCACTTATATCACTGCCACAACTAGTGAATGAACATGCTATTTCTAGTGTTTCATTGTGTGCTGATTTTAAGCATGTTGTTCACATTGCTAATGATGTTGAGGAACATAAATTGATAACTTCTTTAAATACTTTTGGCTATGTTCAGTTTGATGATTTTTGTGAGCTCAATAATTTGGAGGATAAATTATTTGCTAAGTATGATTTTCCATGTCCAACTAATGCTATTTTTCATATCTTTGGCGTATATAATGATAGAGGAATATATTTGGTGCATAGAGTTTTCATTTGTTCGGATTTAGAGAAACATGTTATTGCTAATCACACAACTTCGAGTTTCTCTAGTTTTGATTGGATGAAACAAGTTATTTTGAATAGACTATGGCCCTGTTTGTTTCAGCTTAAGATTATTGTAATCTAGATTATTAAGCCAGATTACTATAAGTTAGATTATAATAAACCGACATGGAATAAGCTGTTAACTGTTTGTTTCTTTGGATTATTAGTTGTATGTTAGCTGTTAGCCACCCAATAATCTAGAAAAAGCACCTTTAGAGTGGATTACCATATTATAGTAATCTAGCTTATAGATTGTAATAATCTATCGTAATAAGCTATCTGTTTGTTTCAGCTTACTCCTAATAATCCAAATTATAATAATCCTAAGCTGAATCAAACAGGGCCTATGTGACGAGCACCATACGGAAAAACCGAGAACGGTTTTCCGTGAAGAAGGGGAGGATGATGTGACCATGGCTACTACAGATACAACCATTGCTCACATCATGGATGGACAAGATGATATAAGGATCAAGTCCTCCAAGAGCTGGAATCCGATTCGGCTACCTGCTACACTGCTGACTTCAAACGGCCGCCAAATCTGCATACGAGCTCCGTTTTCGGCCCGTGAGTACTTTATAGAAATCTCTCGGAGTCCTCCTTCCAACGGATCTATCCTCATTGCGAAATTCCATCTCAGTGAGCTACAATTGATAGAACAAGGTGATGCATCACCTGTAATGGGCCTATGGGCTTGTAACTTCGTTTGGGACCCCGGCCCAAGTGAGGCCCATGTGGGGTGCGCCCCAACCAGGTGGAGGACGACCTTGGGTCCTCCCATCTCCATAAATAGTTAGGTTCCCCTTCAGGGTTTCTTGGGTTTTGTTTAGATTAAAGTTTAGCTTTGCTACTTTACCGGGTAATCCCGTGAACGGTTAAATCGTCGTTTTGCTCATTACGGAACACCAAACTTATCATTTGTACTCAATTGCTATTTGCAATTTAGATTGCTTTTATCTTGTTCTTGTTTGTTTCTTCGATTTGCTTGCAAGAATAAGGTTGATCTGCACCGGCAAGATCAACAACCCACGGAGAGGTGTATCGATCGCTAAGGCGCAACACAACAACGTCTCGTACGGTTGTAGTCGGGTCGTCAACGTTTCTCCCAAATCGTAGTTATCTTCAACTCACGGAAAGATCGGGCCAACTACAGCCTTGAGTATCCCGAGTGAAACTTAGGGTTCATCATTAAGTATGCATCATGAGTTAAAAAACCTATCTCCTTCTAATGGCAGCTGCTAAGAGAACTTCTTGAAAGGGTCAAATAGGCCTAGAGGGGGGGTGAATAGGCTAATTTAAAACTTTATACGGAAGCTAAAACTGAAATAAGGTCGGAAAGTCTGATCCACAGTCAGACTATCCAAAAATATCAGATAGTCTGATGTTGGATCAGACTGTCTGATCCACCAATGAAGCACAACAAGTAGATCTATCACACAAACAAGAGTAAAGCACAAACAGCGACTAGATCTATAGCGGCACAATTAAGCAAAGCTAAAAGGAGGATGAAGGGAGATCACCAATGATGAAGTTCACGAAGTTGTTCCTGGAGTTCAAATCCTTGAGGGGATTCTACTCTCCGTTGAGGAGCTCACTAAGAGCCGGGTCTTTGCTAACCCTTTCCTCAAGAGGTTGCACTAAGCACTCCTCCTTCCACTAAGGGGTATCTCTTTCCTTGCGGAGGCGAGATCCAGCCTTCACAAACTTCTCCCGGCCAACCACACGTAGATCGGTGGCTCGGGAGTGACACCTAGCCGTCTAGGAGTCCTCAACCTCCAAGAGTAACAAACACCACACAACTCTTAGTCAAACCCTAGTGCTCAAGATCGAGTGAAACACACACTAGGCCCTCAAACACCAAATCCACAACCACCAAGATCCACCACACAAAGAACGAGGAGGGATTTGAGAGAGGGAGAAAGAGCTCAAAGATCCAAAGCACCTAAACACCAAGCTCAACCCAAAGTGAATGAGAATGAAATGAGTTGGGTAACCCTAGAAAAGGGTTAGGTGGGGGGTATTTATAGAAGCCCCCAAAATGTGGCCGTTGGGAGAGAATCTTTTCATGCCACCTCGGAAAGTCCGAGATGACATCGGATAGTCCGATGTTTTTGACCCCCAAGCAGGCCAGAGACAGAGAACAAAATTCTGGAGAATTTCGGACAATCTGATCGATCGGATAGTCCGATGTCATATCGGATATTCCGTTATT